ATTTTTTCAATTTTATTATTTTTTATATTAGTTTCAGGTGTACAAAACATTATGATTAGACATTTACACCCCTCAAAAAGTAATAACACCCCCCAAGTCTACTACCCCTCTGACATCGTATGTAGCTGTTACAATACCATTGACTATATTCCCTATGCTGTACTTTACATTTATATATATATAAAATTAAATATATATATTTAATTATAGTTGACATTCAATATTATTCTACTTCAGGTGTACAGTGCAGTGGTCAGGCATCTACACAACCTATAAAGTGATCCCCCTGATAAGTCTAGTACCCATCTGGCATCCTACATAATCTTTACAACATTATTGATTATAGGGGAAGGTTTTCAAATTGTTCCTATTGTATACATTTCTGTAGATAGGGTGTTACATGTGCACAACACACACACGCATCAAAAGTTCTGTCCCCATGAAGAGCCTGACCCCAAACGCCAACCCCAACACTTTGAGGTCCAAAGAATCTAAGTGTCTTTCTGGGTATTCAGCTCCTGGTTTTTGGACATACCTGGAAGAGCACCTTCCATGACAGATCCCTCAAAGACCTGCTGGGTAAACACTGGCCTGTTGTCATTCTGATCTGTCACTGTGATCACAATCTCCATCGGGTCCTCAACTGCATTCCCATTTGAAGACACAGCATGAGAGTAGAGCTGCAAGAGCCAAGTGAGGGTTACTTGGGCCCCGAGGAAGAAGAGGTGGGAGAAGTGGTCTGGCCAGAGCAAAGTGGGCTTCACCTGGCTCCCCCCCACCTTTTCCCACTCTCTGATACTCAAGTATATGGACCCTCAGAACAGAGGCCTTTTCTCACACACATGCTACTGCCTCAATGAGGTCATGACACTGATTGAGGTCATGACATGTGAAGCCCCATGGGCTGGAGAACAAACCCATCAGGTCAGAGTTTCCATTCCCCACACAGGGCTGGGAAGCTAGGCCTAGGAGCTAAAGGTGGAAGAAGCCTAAAACACTGTGACTTTTTCTAAGGAAGGTAAAATTTGCTCTGGCCACTCCAGTCGTGTTTCCCCCAGATTTTCCTGCATTTGGCATCAACCTCCCAGCTTCCCTAAGCTCACTCAGCTACCAAGGCCCAGAAATGGATTTTGCTTCCCAGCGTCATCAATGGGCTCTTCCTTTGGGTCGGGGACTTTTAGCTCCAAGAATAGGTTGACATCTTGGGTTTAGACCAGGGGTCAGCAAACTGTGGCTCGCGAGCCACACGCGGATCTTTGGGTACATATATGTGGCTCTGAAGTAAAATAGAAAATGAAAATAAAACTATCATAGTTTCATTTACAAAATTTTTACAGGATATGATTCACATAATGGTGATTTCATTTGTTTTATGGCTCTCGAATAATTTTTAAATTGTTGTGAGGGACAGGATTGGCTCTTCCATCTCAAAAGTTTGCCAACCCCTTATCTAGATGCATGCATGATACATAAGGACACTCACCTCTTTATTCCTAACAAGGAAAAATTTAACAACCCCCAATTTTTCCAGGTTCTTCTATCAATTCTCCTTATCAACAGGTCAAGAGGTATCAAATTAAGCTCTTTATATGTCCAGAGCATCATACCTAGGGATCCAATATGGGTTGACCAAAAACTTTTGGAAGCATGGGACCTTATCATCAATAAGCTTCTAAGAGATACTCACAGTGTACTTGGCAATAGCTTCTCTATCCAGAGGTTCTGTCACCTTTAGCCATCCTGTTTCTCTTTCAATAATAAAGATACCAACAGGGGGTGCGTCAGCTCCTTGGCCAGTGATGCTGTAGAAAACCTGTGTTTCTTTGTCCTTGTTAGATTTGATCTGAAGACAAACATAGAAAGAAACAGAATGAACAAGGAAGAATCCTTACACTAGATCTTTCCCCTTTCTCTCCTTGGTCCTTCTCTTCCAAATTCCTCCTAAAGAAATAGAGAATATCCTTCTCTACCTGAACCAGCTTCTTAGGAAATGGGCCTTTTTCATTTTCTGGGCAGCTGATAGGAGGAATAACCCAGTCTCTCTTCTGTCTTCTGAGACCATGGTGGGAGT